GCTTTTCTGAAAAAATTAATAGAGAAGAGGGAAAAGCAATTCTCCCTCTTCCTTGCATATGTGTATGTGCATTTATGTGTAAGCAACAATACATCCTGGATTCCATTTTATGTGATACCATTCCCCTAATATGCAAAGTGTTATCTTTCATGCACCTAGAGAACCAGTTATTGAATACTTAGTTCCTAATATAAAAGAATGCTCAAGTACTGGCATGATCATTAACTCTTCCAAAGAGCCAGAATATGCTTATGTGCAGGGTCCTTTTACAGGTTTAGTGACAGAAGGAGAGGAAACTTTATTCAAATGATTAAGTCTTCCTTGACATTTCTTTAAAAAAATAATTACATTGGATTGAGGAATTTAGTTCACATATTTGTGTACTAACTTGAGGTTTCAACATCAGGTAATTAATTGTCCACCAATGGAAACCCACAGAAAAGAGTTATACCCATTGTTATAGTCGCATGAAATGGAAAGCACCTTCATTTTAAAAACACCAAAAGAGCAAGAACTCCCAACAATCTCTTCCTCTGTAGGAGTCTGCAGTACATGTAAATAATACTATTCAGGAGAAAATTTCCCAGCAAGTACAGATGCAATAGAGAGGGAGATAAAAGCACAGAAGGCAGAAGGGCCAATAGGATGAAGAAGGTGGAATCCAGATCTATTTTCAGAAGGAACATACTATCTGTAAGTTTATCTTTCACTATTTTCTTTTGTTGGTGTACAAAAGACATTCATTTCCTTTTCTTCATAGGAGATTTTGGGAAAAGTTCAGCAGAATTTGTAAGAGAATCATATTCTAAATGCAAAATATTTTTAGTTGATTGCTACGTAAAGTGAGGGAGCTCTGGTAGTGTAGTGACTAAGGCACTTGACTGCTAATCAGAAGGCTGGTGGTTCAAACCCACCAGCCACTCCTTGGAAGGAAGATGGGGCAATCTACTTCCATAGTGATACTTCCTCGGAAACCCAAGGAGGGGTCGCTATGAGTCAGGTCCAACTCGATGGCACATAACAACAACAACAACATGTAAAGTGATATCATAATCCCTAAAATGAGACAGATAAAAATGGCACTCATGCTGCTAGCAGCCAAAACGCAAACATTCCAGTTCATTTACATTATTACTATTAAAATAACTTTGAGGAAGTTTGCATCTGACTAAGAGATTGCTATAATTTGCACATCACCCTTCAGGAAATTTACTATGAGACTAAAAACATAATTAATGAAGTACATTTGTTCGGGAGTACATTAAAAAAAAAAAGTTGTGGGGAGTGAGAAAACTTCTGTAAGTTTTTCAAAGAGTGGCTACATTTTTTTCAGGCCCTTGGCATATTCAAAACTCTGTAATGTTAAGTGGAAATTAAATAATCCATAAAGGCATGCATTTTTTATTTTTATTGCATATAACTTCTATTGAAATATATGGTAAGAACATTAGCAGCTAAATCATTAAAAAAAAAAAAAAAAAAGTTAGGGTTGTCAGACTTGCCTGACCATGCTTTATATGACTCAGCATAAGAGCAGCTGTGCGTTTCTATTTCACTGCCAATGGATGGGCAAGGAAAGTAGCTGAGTAACATGCAGGCCAGTCAAATTCATTTAGAAACTGATTATGTTTATACATGTACAACTTGCTTGGGTAACCTGGGTAAAAGTGGTGGCACGAGCCTCTGGCTGGTTAGAAACCACCAGAGCTGCATTCTTGATGGCTCCAGCTTGGTTTTACCCCTGTGAGAAGTAAGAATGGTAAGCAGTGAAGGTCACCATATTGCAGTACTAAATTTCACTTTGAAAAGTACTCATTCAAGCATGGCTTCAACATGATTAAAAATTCTAAGAAAAAAAAAATCACCTAAAATCACAAAGTATAAAAAGAATTACATTGAATGTAGTCAAAATAACAGAAAAGTTAAAGCATACACAACTATGACAGGAATTTAAAGTGATATAAAGAATCTGCAGAAAGCTATCAAAAAAAAAAAAAAAATCACAGAAATTCGGCAAAGACATAAAAGGATTTAGTTCAGACACCTAACTAACCACTGGATCCATTCAGTTAGTCTTCCTTATAAAAAGATGTACACTTAGGTTTTCTCAAAACTGAAAGGTTCTCATTTTTTCTCCCTTTAATTTTTAACTCATTTAGAAAAGAAGAGCAATAGTCCCTTATGCCATTTCTAAGGACTCTATAAGTGATATTTAACCGACTTCTCCTATTCCATCAGTTTAGAAAATGACCATACAAACAATGATAGGACTGAACACTAAAAAGATATTTCAGGTGGGGTTATTTGAAATTCTTGAATAATTGTTTTGGTTCTTCTTTGTTTTCTATTGTAGAGCTAGCATACAAAATATGGAAAGATTAAAATCCATATATAGATTACCTTCCTTATCATTTTATGAACATGTATCCTGAAAGTTTGATATAAACCCAAGTTTAGTATTTCTTCAAATAATACACTTTATTAACTCCAATTTCCAGGGTGGGAAGTTATTGATAGGACTTAAGAGCTTAAACCATATATTAATTCTGTATACTTCCAACTGAAAAAATCAGTTCTCTGCCACTAATTTCAAAGCACTGATGTCACATATATTATTTTGGAGTACATTACTTAACTCAAAACACAAAACAAATGAAAAAACACTTAATGGTAACGAGAGAAAATGGGAAGATAGTTTGGGCTCCTCAGCTATAAGCCACACCTTTCTGGACATCCCTCCTTTGTTAAACATAATGGTTTGAGGTGAGGCAAAATTCATGGCTCTTCTGAAAAAAGGCTGAGGGACACTTATGCTTTAAAATTTCTGAAAACTGAAAAAGGCTGGCTATCAAGTTAGCCACACCTGAAATAGTACTCCAAAAAATTAAACTGATATAAAATTCCAACATTGGGTTTTCATAATTCATATGTAGCTTCTATGATACTCTAAAACCAAACACACATAAAAAGTGACTTTCCTTAAGCTAAGGAAAATATCCACTGTTGGGACAATGTCAAAAATAATGGCAGAAAAACATGCAATTAAATTCTAATGACTCAACTTGATTTTTTAAAGGTTGGTCTCAACTTCTAGAAGTATACATTAGAAATTAGGCTATACACTTTTATCATAGTTCAACCAACTATGCTTATACAAAATTTTATTAACTAGATCTTGAGATGTTATTCAGTGTTAAATAACAGTCATTTCAGCAATTCTTTGCTCCAGGCTATAAAATTTTTATTATTTTCCCCTTGAATCTCATTAATTATTTTATGAAACTAGTAGCCATGACCCTGTTACTTATATTTTAATTTACATTAATATCCATATTTAAATTTTGTCTGAATGTCATGTTTAAAATCTACTTCCACTTAATCAAAGGAATTGTGGTGGCAAAGTGATTAACGCATTTGGCTACTAACCAAAAGGACGGAGGTTTGAACTATGAGCTGCTGTGAAGGAGAAAGATGAGGCAATCTGCTTCCTTAAAGATTTACCCGTTTGGGGCAGTTCTACTCTGTCCTAGAGGGTCACTATGAGTCTGAATTGACTTCATGAAGTGGGTTTGGTTTGGTTTTCTGCTTAATCAAACACTGAATGAGCAATACTGCCTACCTAATAAGCCAGAAAGAATGAACAATATCATATTCTTTAGTAATTTTATAGAATAAATATAGGACTGAAATAGTTCGGTTCTTTTCTAAGAAAATATATTTTCCCTCATAATTTTGTTGGGAGCTCTGGTGGAGTAGTGCCTAAGGCACTTGACTGCTAACCAGAAGGCTGGCAGTTCAAACTCACCAGCCACTCCTCAGAAAGAAGGTTGAGCAATCTATTTCTGTAGTGATACTGCCTCAGAAACCCAAGGAGGGGTCGCTATGAGTCGGATGCGACTCGACAGCATATAACAACAACAACATAATTTTGTTAATTGGTCCATAACCACGTTATCATGACTTTGTGATAATACTTAAATTTTATTATTTTGTGCCCCAATTTCCTCCAAATCATCTCTCTTTTTCAGAATGAAGGCAGTAATAGAGGCTTTTGCCTCCCCTGTATTCAATTCAAATGATGGAGATGAGTGTATCTTTGATTTTCATGATAGTCTTTTAGTTTATTTATGAAAGTTTTAATCACCAGGAATCTTGTCTTCATTTTTATTTTTTAGTTAAGCAACTAACCATTAAAGTTTTAAATTCCTTTTGCTCCTTATCCCAACTCTATATTTATTAACCTGTGAATAAGCCAAAAACATATTCATTCTTGTATTCATACTCTTCTTGTAAATTAAAGAATACTTTAAACATCAACACTCTTACTAAAAGCTGGCCAATTCACAGTTTCAAATAATATAATGTATTTACATTTTTTGTTTAAACAGCATGCACTGATGAGCTCAGTAGGGTTAAAAATTTATTTCAGAGTGATTCCTCATCGCTACTTTACTTTTTTTAAGAAAAAAAAAATGTTTACTTCAGAAAACATGAAACTGTATATAAATATCCAGCCAAGATCTCAATCCAATATTCCTTGAACAAATATGTTTCTTCAAACTTAACAAGATCACCTTTCATGAGTATTTCTTAAAGAGCCAAGATGTAACAAACTGAGAGTTGAAAATACTGTCCCATCAAGTATTTTTCTAGAACATGCAAAAGCCACCATTGTGAAAGAGTTAGAAGGAACACAGTGGATAAACTGAAGCATTTTTCACAACTCTAAGTTTGCTTGAAAATACTTAAATTTCATAGTAATCTTCATGTTGATATTATCAAGATTCAAAATGGTGCACATTTGAAAAATATCAGCATAACCTTTTTACCTATATTTTAGTCTCTCCTAAATTTCTCTATTGCCAGTTTAACATAGAAAATGTATTAATAGGTATTTCCTATTTTGTTCTAGGAAAACAACAATTTGAAAACCCATATAATAGTTTTAACACAAAAAACATATATTATACCAATATTTCTTTTTGTTTAAAACTACTTACCTCTTTGCTTTCTTCCATATCTGACTCACTGCTGAATTCTTCTGTATTTAAATTTTCAAAGTCAGATTCTCCTACAGCAATTGGCACAGTCACAGTGAGACTAGGGTTGTTTATAAATGACATATAATCACTTTCATCCACAACATATTTTTCTACACTGCTGCCTATACCACTGGTAGTTCCATTTCCATCTTTGAGATAATTAAGGTCTTTGCTTATTTCTACAGTGGTATGATTAGAAATACAGCTATCTTTCTTGTTATTTAGATCTTCAAGAGGCTTAATTTCATCTAGAGCTTTCTGCTTTCTAACAAAAGCTTTCTGAATAAATTCACGTATTTTTCTTTTAACATAATCGATTCCCTTCTGCATCCTTCCCACAGCAATTTGGAGATTGTTCATTTCATTATCATCATCAGTGGCAGCAAGATTGTCAGAACTAAACGAACTCAAGAGCAAGGCCAGGAAGAGGTTCAAAACCTAAAATGCAACAAGAATATATGTTATCAAAATTTTGTTTTGTTTTGTTTTAATTGCTACTGACTATAAATTTTCCAAGATAGTTCTTACATCTTGTGTTTTTCCTAATAGATATTTCCTCTAGTTTGTGATAAATTATCCTACCAAAAAAAAAAAGTTGAATGAATTAAAAAATACCTGGCCAAAATCAAGCAATATTACCAGGACCATTTCCTTTTTAGTCATTGCAAAATTATAGAAAGCCATTGCAAATAGTACTTTTATATTAAATTTAGACCAAAAGAGAAATCTTAGTTACTTAGATTTGAGCAGTAGAAAAAGAAAACTAAAGTTTTCTAAGTATTTTGAAAAAGCAATTTGGATTTCCTGGGACAATCATGATTTATTTATATGCTTATTCCTGAAACCAAAGAAAATTTACTATGCTTAAATATGATTTGATTTTTATGCCTTTATAAAATTTTTAAACCTTGATAACCTGCCAAAGTAGAATATATATATCCCTATATCAATAGTCTCAATTTTTGGTTCAGAAAATCACGACCATCATTATACCTCAATTAGAGTTACTATAAAAATTTGATAATTATATCATAGTAATGATGTAAATATTGAACTAAAGATTGTGGAGTCAAGGCATTGTCATGAATAAGATCACTAATTAGTCTGTAAATTGGGTCTCCAAAAATAGACCCTATGGTGTGAGTGCTTATATCATAGTATGTTTTCTCGAAAAGAGGTGATTTACCAAGGAATCAGGCATTCCTATGGGGACAAGACTGAGTCATATAATTTTTTCAGGATTTGATTGACAATGTCAATAAGTCCCTGATTAGTCAAGCGTACACAACAAAAGAAGGATAAAGGATTCAAATGCCAAAAGTAAAATAGAAAAGAAAAAATAAAGGAAGATCCTAGGAGAGAGTTTAAGGTTTTAAATTCTTCTAATTTAATTCTAAAATTCCAATAAAAAAGAAGGCTTTTTTTTCTATATTTCTATCTTTCTAGTGAGTTAATGAGGCTTAGTCCTCGTTTATGTATTTACAAGTTAGTCTAAAATATGTATGTTCCAGTGAGGACTGCATGTAACTTTGAGAGTGTATACTAATACATCTTTCAATCATTGTGCAATGGCTCTTGGTATTCACTCTAAGGCCTGATCTTTAATTCTACAATTTAACAATAAATAATAAAAATTAATAGCTAGTCCAAAGGACTAATGGAACCTTAACCTATATGACCCTGAGACCAGAACTACATCATGCGCAGCTACCGATGCCAACAACTTGGAAAGGGATAAAAATTGGAAATCTTGTATATAGAGTGGGAGAATAAATGTCAACAAAACTCAAAATCATTAAAAAGAGCAGGCTTAATAATCTGATAAAGACTGGTGAAACCCCTGAGACTCTGTCCCCGAGTTACCATTCCAGCCTGGAGTTGAACTCACTCTGGTGGATTAACTCTCAGCCAAACAATAGATAAGCCTAACAGCTGAACACCTGAACATCACCAGAGAGACGAAAAAGAAAAAAATGATGTGCTTTTGAATTTATTAGTTGGATGAAAACACAAGAAAGAAGGAAAATAAAATTAAATTTTGGTTTTGGTCCATAATAAAAATAAATTTATTACCTGACTTATTCTCTAGATTTAATTTTATAAGGTTTATTAATGCCCTGTCCTTGGCTGTTAGGAAAATTTTCTTGACATATGTCAATTAATATTCCCAGAGTGAGTAAAAAAACAAAACTCACTGCCATCAAGTCGATTCTGACACACAGTGACCCCATTGGGTTTCTGAGGCTATAAATTTTTAAGAAAGTAGATTGCCTCATCTTCCTTCCATGGAGCAGCTGGTGGGTTTGAACTTCCAACCTTCTAATTAGCAGTCAAATGCCTTAGGCACTGCCCCACCAGAGATCCTTATTCCCAGACAGAAAGTCCATCTTTATTTCTTCTTCAATGCATTGAGTGCAAGTACTAAATTTGTAAATGTATTATGTACTACAATATATATATGGTCTTCTCTCTGTTCTCATTCTGTCCATGTAAATTTCTCATTCATATCTTTATCACATTACATTGGACTTTTTTGCTGTTTGTTTGTTTGTTTGTTTTAAAACAAGTTCGCCTTTGTTGCCAGGTGGAGAGCTTTTTCAGTTCAGAAACAAGCTTCTAGCCAGGTTCTAGAGCAATATGTTGTTGTTGTTATTATTTGCCGTTGAGTCGCCCCGACTCATAGCGACCCCTCCTTGGGTTTCCGAGGCAGTATCACTACGGAAGTAGGATTGCCCAACCTTCCTTCCGAGAGAGCAATATAGATACTGGGTAATAATAATAACAGCAGCTTTTTTTTGAATTCTTAGTTTCTAATAGTCCTTTAAGGAGCTCTGGTGGCCTAGTGCCTAAAGCATTTGACTGCTAACCAGAAGGTTGGCGATTCAAACCCACCAGCCACTCCCTGGAAGGAAGATTGTCAATCTACTTCCCTAAGGATTTACTGCCTCAGAAACCCAAAAGGGGTCACTATGAGTTGGAATCAACTGGATAGCAGTCAATTTGGTTTTGGGTCTTTTAGTAGTCCTTTTGCCAAGTATCTTACAAGGTTTATATAATTCATTTCTCACAACAATCCAATAAAGCAAGAAGTATTATTATCACTGTTTTATAGATGAGAAAAACAAAACTACTAAATAGCTTTGTCACCTTCTGCAAGAGCAAAGTCAATTAAGTAGAGCTTTTTTTAAAAAAAAAAACAAACAAACATTTTATTGTGCTTTAGGTGAAAGTTTACATAGCAAAGTAGTTTTCCCAACCAGTAATTTACACACAATGTGTTTTTGTTTTGAGAGTAAAATTCATGGGACTTGTGGCATAATGCCTAAGGCACTTGACTGCTAACCAGAAGGCTGGAGGTTCAAACCCACCAGCCACCCAACTGCCATCCAGTTGATTCCAACTCATAGTGACCCCTTTTGGGTTTCTGTGGCAATAAATCTTTAGGGAAGTAGATTGACAGTCTTCCTTCCAGGGAGTGGCTGATGGGTTTGAATCACCAACCTTCTGGTTAGCAGTCCAATGCCTAAGGCACTAGGCCACCAGAGCTCCTGGACAATCTACTTCCACAGACATACCCCTCAGCAGCCCAAGGAGGGGTTGCTATGAGTTAGATTGACTTGATGGCAGTGTGTTTGGTTTGTTTTGGTTTTGTTTTTAATTATTGTGTTTGCAGGGTTAATGAAGAAACAGTGCTTCATGTTTATTCTTTCCTTTCTCTGAACTAGTATTATACTCATACTAATACAGTTTGCACTAGTTTTATAATTGCTTCTATGATCTAGTATGAATCAATAACTTAATTTAATGCTATTCCATCAAGGGAAAACAACTATTCCTTGAACATAGGACTTATCTTTCTTAACAATTGAGAGAGCAGTTGAGATAATATGTATTTTAAGGGATATCTTTTTATATATATATATGGATCTCAATAGTCTAAGCTCTATCTGGCTCCTGTAGTCATGAATAATTGAGAATTGGAAATGGCCTTCAAACCAGCAACCATATAAAACATCCCTCATTTGAATATGATTTTTTTTTCCAAAAAAAAGCTTACACACCATTAGTAGAAATGAGTAAAATGTTTTCTATTACATACCACTAGGTTTCCAATGACCATGACCATCATGAAGACAGTAAGGCACATGGTTTGGCCAGCGACCTCCATACAGTCCCACATGGTCTCTATCCACTCTCCACAAAGTACACGGAACACAATCAGGAAAGAATGGAAGAAGTCATGCATATGCCAGCGTGGGAGTTCACAATCATTGGAGATCTTGCAGACACATTCTTTGTAGCTCTTACCAAAGAGCTGCATGCCAACCACAGCAAAAATGAAGACGATGATGGCCAACACCAAGGTGAGGTTACCCAGAGCCCCCACAGAATTTCCAATGATCTTTATCAGCATATTCAAAGTTGGCCAAGATTTTGCCAACTTGAAAACTCGGAGCTGAAAACAAACACAAGGAAGTTGTTACTGACCTGCCTTCTAAAGAATCTGCAATTTTATTTACAAAGAAATTCTACATTGTAACTTGTTTCAATTATATAATTGTAAATTATTTGTATGACAAACTATCACCTATCAACAGTAGCAGTTACTTGATATCTTTAGGTACTTCTTTCTCAGTCTGAAATGGTTCATATTGTAAATAAAATAATCATACTATCCAGTCTCCTATTGGCATTTTAATAATAAGATACACAGATTTTAGGGAATTCCACAGTAAGCTTGTAGAGAGTCAAATAAAGGAGAAGACCCTCAATGAGATGAATTGACAAAGTGGCTGCAATGGTGAGCTCAAGCATGGCAAGGATTGTGAGGATCGTGCTTGGACCCGGCAGTGTTTTGTTCTGTTGTACATAGGGTCGCTATGAGTCGGAGCCAACTCAACAGTATCTAACAATAACAACGCGTATGCGTATGTAATATACCTTTTGTTTTTCTGCAAGGAGCTAAGATATCTAATATTAATTGGTGCTTAATTAGTAGATACTGTTTCCAAGAAGTAAACACTTGCATTATTTAAAAGCACAAAGTGAATATATTTTTTAGCTCATTTAATATATTATGCTGAAATCCACAAATCAAATAATAACACTTAAGTTATGTAAGTACAAGAGCTAAGTCAACTAATTTCTTTAAATCTTGAGATTGTTTTAATCTCATTCTATCTTTAGCTTACTGTATTTTAGGCTATATTTTAAAGCAGATTCATTACATTTAAAGCAGAAATACTTGGACTTAAATAATGAGCTGCATTTTGTCATCTTTATGTCTTTGGTGACTTAATCAACTCATTAAAAGTGTAAATTGCTTTCTGCCACTGTTTGACAAGTTGGTTCTATTAGCTCATAGAGGCCTCTAAAGTACCATTTATGGTTAAACGGCAGTAGCATTTTATTTCAGATGCTTCAGTAAATGTTAGGCTGAGAGTAGTGCATTATTTAGAGGTATCTAAGTGACTCAGTGGAATGGATATAAGTACATAAGTGTTTAATTTATTCCCAGTGAATAATTTATGCAAAAGAGCTTGATATATTAGCAAGACACTAATGATATGCTTTCTGTTTCCTCAAATTGTATCACATTATCATGAAAGTTTACCAAATTATTTTTAATTAATTGCCCATACTACTTGCCATACAATCATTTCTAATTTTTGTTTTATTTTTCACATCCTTCTGGCTTTAAATTAGACCCCGATATATCCTTGACAGAAGGCTGGCGGTTCAAACCCACCAGCAACTCCTCAGAAGGAAGGTTGGACAATCCTACTTCTGTAGTGATACTGCCTCGGAAACCCAAGGAGGGGTTGCTATGAGTCGGGGCCAACTCGAGGGCAAATAACAACAACAACATATCCTTGAGAGGAGCTCTGGTAGCACAGTGCCTAAGGTACTTACTGCTAACCAGAAGGTTGGTCAGACTCAATGGCACATAACAACAACAACAACATATCCTTGAGGACTAGGGAAGGAAACCATAGCTCTAAGGGTCTTGACACAAATTTGAATTTTGAAAGTGATAAGGAAAACACTAAATATATTTCACAACAAAGTCTTGAGATTAATCACCATTAAGATAAATCACCTGTTGAAACATGTCTTTGGTAATTATTTACAACCTCTGTTATTTGCTAATTAGTCATGAAAGTTAGAGTCTGCTCAAGTAGCAAAACCAAAAACATTAAAATTTTAAATGAAAATGTGCAAATAAGATTTTGTCCCTTAATTTTAAGAGTTGTAAATTTATGAAATATAAAGAGCAAATGAAAGATACTTTCTTTAAAATTAACAAAATATAATATAGACATTTTTTCTCTGAGAGTGGATTTGCTAACTTGCTGATCTGCTTGAAGGAGCAGATGTGTAGGCACACTGTCTGCTTATTTTCCTCCAGTCTTGGCTTCTATGGAAGGAAGGTGGGCAATAAGCAAATCTGATTCCTGAGCCCCTGACAAAACGGTGAACCCACCCCAGATCCCAACCAAACCTTATGCATGCTTAAGAAAACCTCCTCTAACTAAGAATTAGAGATGGGTTTATTTAATGGGGAGTTGGGTTTACTTGTGACTCTCTTTTTCTCCCTCCCATTCAGCTCCCATTTCTTCAATTATGAATGAAAGAACTATGACTACTCATTTGAGTAACTTTAATCTGTCCATTAAAGCTATGAAGAAGGAGAAATTACCACTTGGTTGTGAGGTATTCTGGTTTGTTTTATAAATGCATCTAAATAATAATATAATTATTGGAAATCTTATAAGTATTACTAAATAAAAATTAAGACAAAATAAATTAATTATAAAAAAAATAAATATTATGGATTCTCCCAATTAATTTACCAGCCGGAATGATCGGAGAACTGACAGTCCTTCCACATTTGCCAAACCAAGTTCCATTAAACTAAGGCTCACAATAAAACCATCAAAAATATTCCAGCCTTCTTGGAAGTAATAATATGGATCCATGGCTATTATCTTGAGAAACATTTCTGCTGTGAAGATCCCAGTGAAAACCTAAGTGAGAAATATAGTTTATTTAAGAGAAATACCTCGGAAAACATAAATAAACTTGTGAGAAATTTAATTTACATTCAACAAGTCACAATTAAATTCTGAGTTTTAAAAATTGTCTTGGGCCCAGTGAATCATTCTCCCTCAAATGCTTTGATTCAAACCAATGTTTATGACTTTTCAAGCAATGGAAAGTGCATAAATTAAGACAATAAAATTAACATTCTCATTTTTGTATGAAAGGTGTAGCTTACTCATTATGATCACCTGTTTGGCTCCACTCCTAATGTCTCTACTCATGAAAAAACTTACCAAGGTGTCAAAGATATTCTCCTGTGCTTTATTTTAAAAGCTCTATTGCTTTTGCAGTTAAGCCCCTAATTCATCTTGATTTATGTGTATGGTGTGAGGTTAGATGAAGTTCATTTTCTTACATACATTTATCAAGTGTTCCAGATCTTTTCTGAAAACTTCCTTTATCCTATTGAATTGCTTTGGTGTCCACCTCAAAAATCCATTGACATGTATTTTTGCTCCATTGCTGAGCTCTTCACTCTCTTCCACTGATACGTTTGTTTATGCCAATATTATATTCTCTGATTAATATAGCTTTATAATAAGCCTTGATGTCATGTAGTTTAATTCTTCTAACATCATTTTTTCATTAGCATTAGTTTGATTATTTTAAGTTCCTTGTATTTTCATGTAAATATTAAAATCACTTCATCAAGTTCTAGAAAGAAAGTCTGCTGAGATTTTGATAAATTTTGGTAGAATTGATAATTTAACAATACTAAGTCTTCCAGTTCATGAATATTGTATATGTCTTTCCACTTATTTATATATTATTTATTGCTCTTAGATCTTTTTTGTAGTTTTACAGGGCTCGCCAAAATTTTCTAAAATTTATTCCTAAACAGCTTGTGTTTTTTGTTATTATGGTAAATAGAATATTTAAATTCATTATTTAGTTCTATTAATTGTTTCCCAGAATTCTTAGCATTTTTACATACATGATCATGTTAATAAACATAAAGATAGTTTTATTACATTTTAATATTGATGCTTTTTATTTATTTTTAATTTTCCTTTACACACTTGAGGGAGTGCTGGTGGCATATTGCCTAAGGGATTTGACTGCTAACCAGAAGGCTGGCAGTTCAAACCCAACAGCCACTCCTCAGAAGGAAGACTGGGCAATCTACTTCCATAGTGATACTGCCTCAGAAACCCAAGGAGGGGTCGCTATGAGTTGGATTTGACTCAACAGTAGTGAGCAATGAGGGTTTTTTGTTTGTTTGTTTGTTTTACATACTTGATAGAATTTCCAGTGCAAACTTGAATAGAAATGGTCAAAGTATATCTGCATTTTTCCTATTCTTCTTTGCTTTATTCTCATTCCTAGGGTATGTGATATTTCACTATTAAGTGAAGTATTAGCTGTAATTTTTCCTTCCATGTTCTTTATCAGACTGAGAAAAATTTTTTTTATGACTAGAGAGAGTTTTTGTGATAATTGGCTGTTGAATTCTGTCAAACTTTTTTTTTCATCTACTGAGATAACTTATTTTTTTCCCATGTATTCCCTTTATATGGTAAATACATTGATTTTGAAATGTTAAACTAACCTTGCATTTCTGAGATAAACCTCTCTTGTTCAAAATATGTAACTTTTCAGTCTATTGATGGATTTGGTTACCTATATTTTGTTGATGATTTCTTTAAAGTTAGAGGTTTATGCCTACCCAGAGGTGTCTTGAAATAAAGGTCTGGCGATCAACTTCTCAAAATGTTTGTTGTTGTTGTTGCTGTTGTCGTCAAGTCAGACCTGACTCACAGCGACCCCTCCTTGGGTTTCTGAGGGGGTGTCACTACAGAAGTAGATTGCCCCACCTTCCTTCCGAGCAGTGGGTGATGGGTTTGAACCACCAGCCTTCTGGTTAGCAGTCAAGTGCCTTAGGCACTAAGCCACCAGAGCACCTAGACATTGAAAATCCTATGGAGCACAGTTCTATTCTTCCACATATGGGTCTGAATCAGAATCAACCAAATGGCAACTGGTGGTTGTGATTTTCCTGTGGGACTCTATCCTGCAACATCTATATCTGGCTTCTTTGTTTATCCTCTTTTTTTCTCCAAAATATAGTTTTTTGTGTTAATTTTAGTGGTTGCTATAGAGCAGTGATTTGCAACCAGGGAAATTTTGTCTGGAAACACTTGGTAATGTCTGGCAATGTCTTTGATTTTCATAAAAAGGAAGGTATTTACTACTAGTATCTAGCAGGCAGCTGCCAGAGATGCTGATAAACATCCTACAATACACAGGACAGTCTCCACAATAAAGAATTAACCTGTAAAAATTTCAGTAGCATCACTTTTAAGTTTTCATAAAATATAAGAACCTTGTGGTGGCATAATTCTACTTGCCACCCTAATCATATTATGCTCATCTCTTCATATATGATTTCATATACAAGTTGGATTTTAAAATTATGTATGTTATAAATTCTTGCCATATATATATATAGAGAGAGAGAGACATATACATGAGCACTTAGATTTAAAAGACATTAAGATAAGGAAATAAAAAGTCTTTTACATTTACACATATTTATCCATCTTTAGTGATCATCATTCTCTCCTGTAGATTCAAATTTTCATCCACTACTTCCTCCTGTCATTTGTCATTTAAATGTTAGTCCTTTAACATTTCTCATAGTGGTAGTTCTGGTGGCAAAAACTTTTCTCAGTTTTTGTTTATCTGAAAATTCTTCACTTCAGATTAGCTTTTGAAGGACACTTCAACTGTGTGTAGAATCTTAGGCCAATTTTTATTTTCCTTTCTTCCATCTTTCTTCCCTTTCTCTCTTTCATCAGACCACTCTCTTCTAGTCTGAACTGTTTCTGTTAGTTCTCTGTATGTGATATGTGTTTTTCTTCTGGCTGATTCCAAACGTTTCATTTGTTTTCAGCAGCTTGACTAAATTATGCCCAAGTGTATTTTACTTTGCATTTATTCTTCTTGGTGTTCACTGAAATTCTCAGATCTCTAAGGCTTTTTTTTTTTTCCAACTGGGGTGTTTTTTTTTTTTTAACCATTATTTCTTCAAATACTAGTTTTGTCTCATTATCTCTTTTTCCTCTTTTTGGGTCTCCAATTATTCAAATGTTGGACTACTTGCTATTATCCCAAGGACCAGTGAACCCAATTTTTTTCTGTCCAATTTTTTTTTTCTCGGCTGTTCAAATTGGTTAAGTTCTACTGATTTGCTTCAAGTTCAATAAGGCTTTCTTCTAATATCTGAAATTTTTCTTTTAAAACAATCAAGTATATTTTTCAACACAAATAACACTTTTCAAAATAAATTGTACTTTTTGTTTGTAGGATTTCCAAGAATTCTTATGGTTTTCATTTTTCTCCATCTATTTATTCCTAATTACCATTTTTGTGCAAATTTTAAACATATTTGCTGTAGCTGCTATTTTTCTCTTAATTCTAAAACCTAAGTCATCTCTAAATCTATTTATGTTTAATGATTTTTATCTCAACTATGAGTCACATTTTCTTATTTCATCATATAATTTATAACTTTTATGTGATGTGGATAAAGTGTTATAAGACTCTTGACTTAGTTATCTTCCTCTGAAGAGTTCTGATTTTTGTTCTAGCAGGCAGTTAAATTATAGACTGGTCACCTGGAAATTCTGGTACCTTGGTTTTACACTTAGATATGGTAGGCGTATTTTGTTTTTCTCCTTGATCCTAACTGGACTCTAGTCCCAAGGTGGTTTTCTAATTTTCTATCTTGATGGATCACAATTTCCAAATTTGGTATCAGCTGCAGCTGGCAGGAACTGAGATATCTGCTCCTTTCTCAGGTTTCCAATACTTTTTCTTTTTCTGCTGGGTTTCTTGGTGCCTCTTTCACACCTGATTTGTTTGAGGGTCAGCCAAGGATTTGAGAGTTTGTATACAAAATTTGGTTTATACACAGAATTTGGGACTCCCTCCTCCTATAGTTCTCTCTTTTCCAAGATTTTAAAATTAAGTTTCCGAGCACTTTGACAAACTTAAACTTCCACTGTGACACCTCAAACCAAAAAGATTTATTCTTGCCTTTTAAAAGTCTGCACTGAATAGACTTGGGGACACCATCAAGTGAATAAACATTATCAATGTAGATCTCAACAAATGTAGTTCCTTTCTTCTAATGGTCAAGTACTGCAGGAAGAAATGGCATGGAATTTGACTCTTGAAGGAAAGGAAGCATTCAGTCAGATTCATATTGATGTTTATTCCCTTGATGATGTCAATAAATACATACATAGTAATCTTTTAAAATCAAACACCTGATTTATTACTTCCTTCTGAAAATTCTTCAGTGGCTTGCTAGTAAGTATAAGTCCAAAATCCTTAATTGATTGCTTAAAAGTTGCTTACAATTGGATTTAGGATGTATTCAAAGCCATACCATAGGAACAGGCATTTCTTATCTGCATCTAAGTATCATCTCTCATATTGGTAATAATAATAATAATTGGAATGATAGCTGCAATTTATTGATTGCTTACAATGTACATTGTACTGTGTGTTTATGTTTTATCTCATTTAGTCCACACAAGTTAGTTTTGTGAGTCATATTGTATTATATTCAGGGAATGCTGGCATAGGTGGCTAAGCAATGTTTTTAAGATACAGATTTAGTGAGGGATATAGGTGAGTATGAAACTCAGAAGTCAACATTAAATATACCTCTGTTCAAAATAATCTCTATCTGCAGATGGAACCTCCTTCCAAATTTCCCAGATTATACAGTACAAGCAGATCCAGACCCATACATCATTTGTATAGCATTAAGCTAGTATTCTTTCTTCACTCCTTTCACACACTTTCAGTGAATCACTGTCTTGTGACTGCTTTCTAGAGCTAGGAATTTTTTTGTTGTTGTTCTTCAGGGAGGTGATTCCTGCCATATACCTCCACAGCTTTTATGCCCAGTCAT